TCCTGGGATTCAAGCATAAGGAAATACCATGTGTTGTAAAGTATGATTTATATATATTCCTAATATTATTTATTGTATGTTTACGTTCTTGGAATCTGGGTTAGTGAGAGTAATGGATTTTTTTGTGTCAATTTAATAATTAACCTGGAAGCATTTAGTTAACCACGGTGATTTATTTTAAACTGTTTGAGACCTAGATTTAGTACAAATGTATTTTTCTGTATATTGGTAGGATTTTATGACTAAACAAGATAAACAAACTCCAGTTTGGAAGGTCAACAGAGTTTCTTGTAAGCCTAAGAGAAACACCTACAGCTTAGAGCCTATTTTTCCCAGTTTGAGTTTGCAGCAGTCCTCTGTCCTTGGATGAATATGGTTGTGTGGACCAACCCTCCTGAGAAGGAAAAGATATAGTGAAACTAGGCTGTTTACCGTTAAGAGGTAGTGATAGCCTAGACTCAATGTTGGGATAAAATCCTGAAGAGGTTATTTGAAGCTGAATACACTTAAGCTCAGGTGCATGAACAGCTCCAGGAAGAAGCTATCTACAGTTCCAATCTATAAATTAAATTTGTTATAAATTAAACCTACCCAGGGACTCTGTTGTGATTACTGTATCAGTGATTATTTTTTGGAGGGGTACTATACAAAGTGGGTTTTGGGGCCTGTATCATGGTTTTTTTTGGCTACTATACAAAAGTAATTTGTATTTTTTTCTTTCAATTTATAAAGGAGTGTTTTGGAATTCATGGGATTTTACTTTTTACCGTATGTTTAAAAATATCTGAATTTGTCTTATAAGTAGACAGTTTGGGTTATTCTATTTTACCTTATTTCTTTTGTTAATAAACTTCTGTTTTATTGTTAAGCAAGCAATGCTATAGATTTTGGTTTATGTTTCAGTGACAGACCACCTTGTTTATCAGTCAGCAATATAACACTCTTACTTTTGAGATAAAATAATCTGAACCTTCAGTGGTCAGATTTTCCAAGTAAACTTGTTCTCTCTGTACTACTGCTGCAGTTTGAATACCTTGTTACTTTTCCAATGCCTTTTTATTTGGAGGTCCTTCGACATTCCTAATGCTGCAATTAGTCTCCCACTTAACTTGCAACAATTAGCTTTGCGATGTCCAGCTTTATTACAATAAAGAATATTATTTTCTTCATCTCCTTTTTGGTTCTAACATGTTTCCTTTATTAATTTGTCATCCTTTCATTTGATCCCAAAACCAGTACCTCTTCCATCCACTGATTTTTCTATTTCTCCAATTTTCTTGTGGACTCCCCACATCACCATCTCGTCATCCATGAGATATCGTTGGTTATCTGCCAGATTTGCTGCTTCCCTGTTTTTTTTCCACTTGATGCTCATCTAAAATAGATTTCAGCCTTGCACGAATGTTTCCAAATTCTTCCATAAACAACATAATTTCCCTTGCACACTTCAATTTTTTTTGCTCAAACTTTAGAGATCAAAACTGCACATTTCAAAAATACTTAATTGGGTTTGTCTAAACACTAAGATCGAAACATCTTTTAGCCATTTCATCTACCTTCTCGAATATGGAAAAATATCTTTTGACTTCAACCTCAATAAATTTAGACATTATGTATAAGATTCTTAGTTAAATTAAATTTCTCATTGGAATCAGAATCATTATCCAAGCTACTATCCTTTCTTTACTACAAGCTTTTTATAGCCAACTTATGTTGCTAAATTTCCTTATTTCTCTGCAGTTCAAGCTTCTATAATTTCACCTTCTTTACCATTTGTCTATTTTTCTACTTCCTGACTTTTCCCTGTGTATTCTTTCCTCAAGATTTATTTTTATCCTCTTTTCTTCTAATCCAAGACTTTTCTCTTTCTCTAACTCAAGATTTTCTTTTCATTTCTATAGAAAAGAGCCCCAGCTTGATTATACATTTTCTTGATAGTTATAACCTTCAGTCCCAGAGGCTTGGAGGTGGGATGGTGGTGGACCAGAAAGCTGCCACTTTCTGAACTAAGTTGTGGACAGGGAATGATCAATTAATAACCACTTAAGGTTTACTCCCACATCAGCTGCCACTATCTCAGCTCCAGGCAGGACAGAAGAGTAGGTTAACCGAACTACTGCAAGCAGGCTGTCAGTCAATGTGGGAAGGGAAACAAAAAGTGGGGGTGGGGTCCCTTGACCTGTGCCTTCAACAAATGTAATATTTTTCAAATTTGCGAATGATAAAAACCTAGGTCAGAATGTGTGTTGAGGAAAATAATTTCGTCAGGCTTAGTGAATGGGCAAGAACATGGCAGACGGATCATAAATGGAAAAAATGTGAGGTTATCCACTTTGGTAGGACAAAGAGATCTCTAGTGTATTTCATATATGGTACGATGTTGGAAATTGTAAATGTACAAAAGGTGCCCTTGTCAATAAGTCACTGAAGGCTAACACGTGGGTGCATTAGGAAGCTTCATGTAATGTTAGCTTTATCACAAAAGGATTTGAGTACAGGAATAGTAAAGTCATGCTTCATTTGTATAGGTGCATGGTTAGACCACACCTGGAATATTGTGTGCAGTTTTGGTCTCCTTACGTCAGGAAATATATTATTGCTGTAAAAGGAGTGCAATGAAGACTTATTCCTGGGATGTTGAGACTGTCCTGTGAAGCGAGATTGAAGAATCTTGAGTTTTGAAGAATCGGAGATGATCTCATTGGAACTCAAAATAGGGAAAGGGATAGGCAGGGTTGATGCAGGAAAGATGTTTCCTCTGGTTGGGGAATCTAGAACCAGGGCAAATTTATAAAGAAGGGATTTGTAATTTAGATCTGAGATAAGGTGTAAATGTTTTACTCAGAAGGTTGTGAACCTTTAGAATTTGCTAGCAAAGGGTTCAGAAGGCTTAATCTTTAAATATATGTGAGGTAGAGGACAGATTTCTGATTACCAGCAGTATATGTAGTTACAGCGAACAGGTGAGTAAAAGGCACTGAACTGTTTGAACAACTGAGATTGTATTCAATGATGGGGCAGGCTTAGTGGCTAAATGACCTCCTCCTGTTCTTGTGAAGATTTACCCTTCAATAAACAAGTTTACAAACATGATTTGCCTGTCTTAACAGCAGCGACTATACCTTTAATCAATTCAGTCTCTGAAACAGAATATGCAGGATTTCAATGTTCTTGTATACAAATCACAGGAAGTTAACTTGGAGGTTTTGTGCGCCATTTGTATATTAGCTTTATTGCAAGGGGTTTGCAACACGAGGGTAAGGAAGTCTCGTTGCAATTTACTGGGCTTTAGTGAGACCACACTTGGCATGCTGCATGCCTAAGGAAGGTTATACTTGTCTCAGAAGAGATGCAAAAGAGGCTCACAAAGTTGATACCCTGTGGTCAGAAGAATGTCCTATGTTGAAAGATTGACTACAATAGGCACATATTCTCTTAAGTTCAGAAGACTGAGAGATCTTATTGAAACATATACAATTCCTAGGAGAGTTGACGGGGTAGATGCGAAGGGACTGTTTTCCCCAGCCAGTAGATCTATAACTAGATTTGAGATATGATGTCAGCCAACTAGGTCTGAGAAAGGGATTTCTTTCTTCAGAGGACATTGAATCTTTGGAATTCTCTATCCCAGAAGGCTGTGAATGCTTATTGGATATTTTTAAGACAGAGACTAACAAATTTTTGTGCATGATGGCAATCTGGCTTAATGAAAATAGGCAGGGAAAATGGAGTTGAGACACATGAACAGGCAGGGAATACAGGAATATGGACCATATGCAGGCAGATGGGATTAGTTTAGAATGGCATCGTGATCAGCACAGACATGGTGGGCTGAAGGGCCAATTCTTATACTGTACTGCTCTATGTATGAACATGCCATCCTCATCTTGCTGAATAGTGAAGAATGCTCAAAGATCATATGATCTACTCCTGCTCCTATTTCTTATGTTAGCATAAGGCACTATAAGCTCAAGCTGCTGAATAGCTTATATCTGGTCCTGATGTTCCCATGCACAATCTTCTACTCTGGAGTTTGAAAATTTAAAATTGGAAAAATAGCAAATCAACTGAAGGTCAGTCAACCAAATAACTGGAAAACATTAGGACATGTTGAGTGTACCACTTTCATCTGGAGGTACATAATTAATTCAACATTTTTGCACAAAATACATCTGCTTGTGATTTGTTAATTAATGTTTAATCTATCAGATAATTCAATTTATTTAAGCAAACGATTAGAACGAATTGTTCCAACATATGTTTGGATACGAATGGAATGCAATATGTCTTTTTTTTTAACAAAAGTGACTCCATTCGAAAGCAAACCATTGCATGTAAAATGTTTTGGGATGTCACAAAATGTTAGTAGGCGCAACATAAATGCAATACAGGTTGTTCTCTTTTAGCCTCGTTGATGGGAGAAGTACCACAATTGCATACATCAGTGCACAAATGGGAAACCTTGGCACTTACACACAAAGCAACTTGATTTCATGACACAATCCTAAAAGAAAACTGAAACATTATAAACAGTGATGGTTTTGAGAGAAAGTAAGTGACTTCAGGACACTTGGTCTATTTGATCTCCTGGACTGGCTTTTGTTCACTCAGAAATCAGGAGCAGGGTGGGAGTGAGGGGTAATAGGATTGAGGTAAATAGAAATTTCTTCACTCAGAGGGTTGTGAATTTTAGGAATTCTCTGACCCAGAGAGCTGAGGAAGCTCCGATGTTGAGTATACGCAACACACGAGATCAATTAATATTTGGGTACTAAGAGAATGAAAGGGATTTTGAGGATAATGCAGGAAGGCTCAGCTGAGGTAAAATATCAGCCATGATCATATTCAATGCCAAAGTAGGCTCAAGGGACCAAATAGTTTATTCCAGCTTCGTTTTGTTTTCTTCTGAAGTAGCAACCATCATGCTGTGGGCCAGGCTTGGTGAACAAGCTGGTCTTTTTTCTGCCCGTTACGTTTGTACAAAATATCCACCACACTGATTTGCTGCAGCAATATATATTTTAATTCAAAGTGAATCTCGACAATAATACACCATAAACTCTTATTTTTGACACTCACCAAAATAGTCACCTGGAAAACCCGCTTTATGTGACAAGGTACGAAGGCTTGGTCACATTTAAATCACTGAGAACTAGCAAGAAATACTATCGCAAACTGTAAGAGACATACATCCATAAAAATTTTCCCAGTCCTCATATTGTAAATATTGCACAGTGCAATTGCTACATGGCAAACTAGTGTAGCATTAAAATCAAAAGCAAAAAGCCACAAAAAATCTACAATTTTTAACAGTAACAGTTCCAACTGAATAATCAAGTCTACGTTGTTGTGTAATTTAAACAACAGGTTTCTATAACTTGCAGTGTTGATTTAACTTTTATTGAACTGCTGTCAATTAAGGGCTAAGCTGATAAAGGAGACGACGGTTCTAGGAAAGAAAAGATTGATACTGCTGATTGCTTTAAGATTCCATCCAATTGTGAGCCTCTACCCCATCAAAACTAATTGGTTCAAATCAATTAAAGACAAAATCTTTTAAGATATGTTTTTTGTTTCAAAATGCATTCACAATCATACACAAGGGCACTGAATTTGATTTCTAAGCATAGCTAAAATTAAAACTCAATATGCACGTAAGATGAATGTCCAAATTTAAAATGAGGTGGGTATTATATTACTTTCTTGCCCCCAAATGCCCATCCCTGCTTTTCACAGTGTCTTGTTTAAGAATGACTTTAAGGCATCAACCAGTGGATAGAACTCAAGAAAAAAAACTGAATGCAACACTTTGGTGAAGTACTCAGGCATCATGATATTGTCATTCCACAGTGCTATGGCCTATCTAGCTTACACTAGTTGTTTCCCTTCAGTTATCAGTCCTGTATTTAGAGTTCTTTTGTTTTTTTTTACAAACTATGGTGTCTATTGATAAAAATAGAACTATGCTAGAAAGCACCAAATTTTTCAAGAGGTACAACACATTTTATAAATTTGACTTAACTGTACAACTGTTCTGTGGTTTAAAAGCCTTTGCGCTTAGGCACATTGTCGTCCGTGGCTATGACTAAAGGCTAATGTTAAATAAAACACTGCTTTGTTTAGTAGATATACAGCCCTCTCCCCTAAAATGGTTATACTCAAAGTTAGCTTATTGAAGTCAAACTGGTGCTGTTTATTAGTGGTGTGTTAGGATCTTTTAATGTTTTTTTTAAATTTAGAAAATATAAATAAAGTATACAGAAATCAGGTTCCGCACACTGGCTGCTGTTTCCAGTGAATAATTAAAAGATTCTATATTGCAGCAGCAAACTGCGTTAGCAAAAAAGAAACAAAGTTAAGTCAATTCTGCAAGCTACAGCGATTCAGATTCTTTAACACAATGCCAATATGAAAACGTAAAAATTAAGTTACATCAATACATCCATTTATATGCAGTGATGATCGCGAAGTTACTTAAGGTAAAATACTGATGCAAAAACACACACCCAAAAATAAAAACAAAAGCAATTAAAAGTTTCATCATTTACAATACAGTAGTTACAAAGACACTCCAAACAGTAACGCCAAAATTAATCGAAACCCACTTCTAGTTAATGTAATCAGACTTACAGAAATGAGAAGGCTAAGTAAGAACAGTTAATAATCACCTATTTCACAGCTAATTGAAGTGGCAATCATTATATAGCAGCTTATCTATAATACATTCAAGATAAATGTTACAACTTCTTACTTGCCCAAAGAACTAAAACATAGCCTCAAACTTTTTTATTGAAATTCTGAAAAAAGTTTTTTTTAAAATTAACCTTTGTTTGCTACCCCCTTTTTTTGAGTATTTTTCTTGAGGTCTATGCAAAGTTGCTAACCTTGCTTAGGAAATGGGATGACAGGAAAATTCTTTGGTGCTGCGAAAAGCAACTTCATTTTAAAAAAAATTTCTGTTTTATGACGCGCATACAGAAAAATGCACAGAGCGCGTAATTCATTTTATCTCCCTGACGGAATGTATAAAATAAGCAAGTAGACACTGAACAAGCTAAAAATGAAACAAAAAAAAACAAAGTGATAAAGAGGGTAAAATTTGTCACATGCATAAATGATAAAATTGCACACAAAAAACTTGCACCTCGTCAAGCCTCAGGACTAAATAGTATGTTACTACGTATATCAAATACTGCATGGTCTGCTCAAGCTAAGGTAAAACCATATCATGAGTCATTGAGTATTATGAATTGCATTTTTTTCAATTTTCTAAACAAAGCCATGCCACCACATATCTAATCATTTCACTAAGTTCCATAAACAGCAAACTTCTTTTTAAAAAGAAACACACACGCACACACTTCTATTTCGATTGTATTGCAGATTATTATTTTTTTGACAGTATAAACACTGCTCATTATAGACGAGTTTAAAGTAGAAACCAGTGATTGAATTATCTCAGTCAATTTCTGAATGCTTGCTCTACACCTCTGGTATTTCTAGATCATTCTGAAAGGAGGAAAGCAGACTGAGCCCACAACCGGCGAAGCACAAAAAAAGGCTATTCCTCAAAGGATAGGATAAGCATACCACACGCCAAACCTGAAAAACTAAAGCACTAATATTCCTCCTACTTTCCCATTCTATTTTTATTCAATCACTGGATTAGATAAGAATTCAAGTGCTACAGTCCATAACATAGTAACATTAACAACCTCAAAATATTTAAGGCACTATGTGTGTGAAAACCATTGTTACTGACGACACTGAAGAGTAAAAAACCCAATTTCAGGCAATTCTTGCCCATGCAAAACACATGCAGGTGTGGGGAGCAATGGCCCCAACCCCTTTAGGTTAATGACTGAACACTGAAAAAACACTAAAGACACAGGGGAAACCACAAGTATATTTGCTTGTACACCGGCAGACATAATATGCACCCTTTGCCCTCATGGGGTCAATAGCATGGCTTCACAAGTGTGTGTGTGTGAGATACACATGTCTTGCAGTGGACGCAACAAGGCAATACAAAAGTGGAGAGCTATGCCTCTCTCTCTCGCCCCATGCTCCTTGCGGCTTCGAATCACCGCACACGTCCTTGGACCTAACACAATGGCTGAAAAAGCTGTATCGTCGAATGTGCAAAGACATTAAAACTTGGTTTGATTTAATGCTCAGCTTTTTTGTTTCTTTTCGTTTATGCACCTTTTATGTACCATGATTAACAAAAACACAATGAAGAAATGAATTTCTTGTGCCACAGCTTGGAATTATTCTTTAATCGGTTACGCGTTCCTTCAATTCCAGATGCTTTACACGTGACTGAGCCTTAGGCCAGTTGCTTTTTTTTCTTGTTCTGTAATCTTCAAATATAGGGATACTGGCTGAGCTTTGTTGGACTTAATGGGAATCCAGTGTAGATGGGAGATGTGATATAGGAGTGAGGATGAAACATTGGTTTGTACTGGTTCTGATGAATGGTCGGAGAAGGCAGCAGACGGGGATTGAGACCAAAGGGGATTTGGTGAAGGAGGCCATTGTGGTGAGAAATACTATAGGCCGTGGGTTGCATGATAGGCCTTGAAGTGCATGGGGAGGCCAACAGATGGGCCATGGGAGCTGTGTTGCCCAGGGGACCCGATGGGGGATAGGATAAGATGGCGGGCTGGCCCCCGAGGTGTGTGTTTCCGGTCAGATGTCCATGAGCTGTAGTGTGATTGGGGCTCCCGTGAGCGAGAGAGAAAGGGTGGCCAGCGATTGTGGGCGCGATGAAGGCCTGCTTTCTCCGGTGTCCATAATTGCCATTCCATTCCTGAGGCATCGATCCATAGTGCTGAACATGGAAAAAAATACATTTCTTTAATCAGTAATCACCCACATCACTCAAAAAAAGATGCCAAGAATAAATCAACATTCTGCGAAAATTCGCAGTTCACCCAAATAATTTGCCGGTTTATTTAATCGCTGGTCTGATAAGTATAGGTAGTATGATTAATCAACTATGATATCGATGGAACACTCAGACAGATAAGCTCATAACAAAAATTATCTTTAAGGATCTGAGTAAAGATAAATCATAAGGACTTCACTGTGAAATGTACTTTGATGAATGTGAATTGGGATGCGTAAAAGAGGATGCTTTCCTAGAACTTGAATACACAGTGCATTGGTGAGGTTACACTTGGAGTACTGTGTGCAGTTTTGTCTTCTTTAAGGAGTGGTTCATACAATGAGGGGCTTATCCTATAAGAAGTGATTGACTAAACTAGACCTAAATTCACTGCAATTTAGAAGAATGAGTGGTAATCACATTGGACATATAAAATTCAGCAACCTATTATCTGCTTCCTTTTTTGTTTTTCTCTCTGGGCACCATCTCCAAATATTCAATTCACTCCATCCCTCTCAACCCCACCCCTCTCATCAGCATACATACTACCATTTCCTCAGTTGCTTTCAGTTCTAACGAAGAGTCACTGGACTCACAATGTTAACCCTGTTTTTCTCTTTACCCAGATCTGCTGAGTTTCTCCAGCACTTTGCTTTTGTTTCAGATCTCCACCATCTGCAGTCCTTTCCTTTATTTTTATGGTTATTCCTAATTCCCTACCTCCCAGACCTGTGGATGTTCAGTCTTTAAGTATTTTCAAGGCAGGGTTTGATAAATTGTTGGGAGTTAAGAGATAGCGTGAGAGAGGGTAGAAGACCAGCCATGGTCCTGCTGAATGACAAAGCAGACTCAAACAGCCAAATTGTTTATTCCTGTGCCTGCCTGTCAGGCTTATAACAAGAAGAAAAGGCAAAAGTACTTCTATGCACGGTAAAATGTTTGCTCGAAGAATATCGCTGCAATATCACTAGGAAGACATCTTACAATCAGTTGCGTTCACACATACCTGACCAAAATTCATGTGTTGCTGTTGGAATGCTGTGAAAGACTTCTGCTGGCGAATACCTACAGTTGAAAGCTGGCTTATTCTTTCAGGTACAGATCGGCCCTTGCTCAATGACTGACATGTCGTATCTGGAAGGTGCAAACCGGTTCAACGTGTGAAAAGGTTTAATCCCTGGGCTATCAGGTTGCCTCTAGACTTGGCAAAATCAAACCATTTCAAAGTCCACAACTTGCACCAACGAATAATGTCCCCAAGTGTATGAAATGGCCATAGAAAACAAATTTTCCTTCTTGCTATCTCACTTCTCCCTTTCATTAAAGGACATTTACTTATACCGCTCCTTATTACATCTCCAAGAAAGGTGACCAGTGTGGTGTGATGTTATTTAGGCAAACCCAGCTTCAAATTTGTACCTGGGACTAATATTAGTTCAGTTCTGAAGCTCTGTGATGACAATAACAATCTAATTTATCTACAAGTTACATTTAAGGTACACATACCATCTTGGAACAGAAAACAGTACAAATATTCCAGGATGCCAAAGAAAATATTTATTCAATTTATTTGTAGTGGACTACAGAAGCAATTTACTCTTGTTCATTGTTAAAGATACACTGGGATGGTTTAAAAGGCAATTGTGGGAAGTTATGCATATAAAAAATTTCAGTTGGATTATTAAAAAAATGCTGTACTGTTTTCCATCTCCTTGGGATGTGTGTTCCTCTAATTCTAGTCTATTGTACATCTTCAATACTGTGCCTTCAGCTACTTAGACTCTAAAGTTCTGGAATTCCCTCCTAAATCCCTCTGCTTCGCTCTTGTGATTTCAGGTGGTCCATAAAGCCTGTCTCTTTGTGCCCTAATACGTCATATTGTTGAGTGTTTGTTAATGCTCTTGTGAAACACTTTGGGATATTTTGTTGCATTAAAGGGGCCATTTTAATGCTTACATACTCAACACACGGATATAAGAAGTTGAAAGCATAATGCACTCAAAAAGCTTTTATAATTACATAGATACATAAAAAAGCAAGTTAAAACAAGAAACCTACTAACTGCGTGTAGAATCACTATCAACCCTGGTATGCCGAAGGAACCAAGCACTTCCTGAATTGCCTACCTGCAGTACAATCTTATTCCCTTTGGTCAGTAAATAGACATGGCAGAGATCATGATTAAACTCACATAGACAATAGGGAGCAGTGAAGGTAATGATAGTTTATCGTTTAAATCCCTCACTGGTTTACCTCATTTTTTTTTGTAAAGATGATTCTCAGACAAACAACAGAGTTTTAAAAGTAAGATCCAATACACTGTAACCTTTCTACTCAGGAAAGCTGTGTTCAGAAACACCAGCTGTCTGGAAGTGTTTTCAGCAGACCTAGGCACATTTTAGTACAGTATTTTGGGAGCGGAAACATAGTAGATACAGTATTTGAATAAGTAATTCAATTTTTATTACTGGTTTATAATGTTTTATGTTTCAGAGTGTTATGTCTGTGATGACTTCTGGAACACACACTTATAGTTAAGTATTCTAATGTCTTTCTATGTCGCAGAAAATTCTGAAATGCAGAAAATGACTTGGACGCAAACATTCGGGACTTACTAATTATTTGGGAAACATGACTACTGACAGAATGGAGAGGTGTAAGTGCCCTGTAGCTGAAGAATAAGTTGCCATATTTAACAAATAACTGAGCCAGGCTGCCATCAACATTCAGCTTGACTGTGTAGGCTGCACACTTAATTCTTCCCTTTCCTTCTCGTCACAGCCCTGAATCTCAGCACAGCAGCCCCTGTTGCTCTAGTACAATGTCTTTTCTGATAGCAGCCAAACCCCTGTGACATATTTTGAGCTTCTCTGTGTTAGATTGTGGGCAATTTTTGTACAAACGATTCATGCTCAAGTGGGAGCTAGGCAGATGTTACTCAAGCTATAGGAGACTTTTGAGATAACAAACTCTTATTGCATTCTAGGGGACCATGTGGCCTCTGTAAAAGAGCTATCCAATTTGGACCCCATTCCAGCTTATTCCCCATAACCCACATTTCAAACTTTAACAGTCCAATTATTTGAACTCTTTGTCCTCTGCTTACCAACCATTTGTCAGAGGAAACAGTTTCTCCCAAGTTGGTCCATCAAATTTTATATTTTGGAACAGCTCTGATATCTTCCCTTTATCATCTTTTCCCTAAAGAGAACAATACCAGCTTTTTAAATTCCTCTAGTATCTGACTTCCCCAATCCTTGTATCCCTTTGGCATCTTTCCTAAAGAGGCCAGGATTGTGCACAATACTTTATTAAAGTTTTAGCATATCACCTTTTTTTTTGTATTCAACTGTCCCTATTTCCCAGACCAAGCTTTTTGAGCTGCCTTTTCAACTTGCCTTGCTACATTCAAGGAGCTTTGAATAAACACTTCCAGGTCCCTCGGTTCACGTACTCCCAGTCCCACAAAATTGTATTATTCACATTGTTACTCCCTATAGCAGGAAAACAGGGAATACTTCAGTACAGCTTTTCAGGACAGGATTCTAGGTTCCCTTATTCTCTGTCCAATTCTGTTCACCCCACTGGTCCCCTTTCAAAAGATGACCTTAAATGTTTTCTAACTTTTCTTCCATGCAACTAACTTGTTGCAGCAGTTACAAATATAATTCTTTCTGACCCATGCATACAAAACAGTTCCTTACCTGCATTTGAGACCTGCTCACTCAAGTCTGTTATGGAGATTGAATTGCTGCTCTGCACTCTCATTGGCGGCACCACCACGGTGCGCACAGCGGGCTTGTTGCTGTCTGTTCCCTCAGAGTTTATGCCACCTGAATTCTGATTAGCTGCGTCCTGAAGGAATCGCTCTTCCAGAAAGGGACTTTCGTTTTGCCCTGAAGACTCACTGGTTGGTGATCCATCTACTGTGTCACAGCCACTCTCAGGCTCATCCTCCGACATGCTGGAATGTCAATGATGATAACATGGTGGTTCAGGTACTGGGAAGCATCAGTCATTCATATGTTTCAGATCACACAATCGCTTCGTGGAAAGTACTTGTTTATGAATACAGTGCCTTTCAAAATCTCGAGATGCTCTCAATGTGTGCTTCATGTCTAATGAAATAACTTAGTTTTGTAGGTTAGTTGCTGTTGTAATATGGGGAAAAGGGTCAGCTAATTTGCAGATGGCAAGGATTCACAAACAACAACCAAATAATTATTTCTTCAGTCATAGAGGTCTACAGCACTGAAAAAGGTGCTTTGTCCTATCAAGTCTGTACCAGACAAAACAATGACCTGACGATTCTAATCCCATTTTCCAGCATTTGGCCCATATCCTTGAATGCCTTGGAATTGCAAGTATACATTAAATTCTTCTTAGACCATCTTTTCTGTCTATACCAGCCTAACAGGCAGTGAATTCCAGATTCCCACCACCCGCTGGATGAAAAATCTTTCCTTACAACCTCTCTAAACCATCTGCCCTTACCTTAAATGTAGCAATATTAACTGAAGAATAAATATAGGCCTTAGGACACCAGACAGAATTCACCTGTTTATCTTCATAAAGTGTCTTGAGATCAGGTATATCCACCTCAAAGGGCAAATGGGGCCTCAATTTTTATGGTTAATTTTGGGCTGGTAGATCACTCCATCATTACTGATCTAGAAGCAGCAGCCTATCAGATTAACAGTGGTCCAAAGTCCTTGAAATGGAACCTATAATCTTGCAACTTGGAGGTAGAAGCTTTACCATGAGTGAAGTTAGAACCAAATGGAGATATGTCATTTGTCTCTCCTAACTTTTTTAATTTATTCATTCACGTGATGAGGGCGTCGCTGGCTAGGGCAGCATTTATTGCCCATCCCTAATTGCCCAAAATTCAGTTGAGTCAACCACATTGCTGTGGGTCTGGAATCACGTGTAGACCAGACCAGGTAAAGTTTCCTTTCCTAAATGACACTAGTGAACCAGATCGGTTTTTCCAACAATCGGTAATGGATTCATGGTCATCATTAGACTCTTAAATCTGGACTTTTTTCTGCCATCTGCTATGGTGGGATTTGAACCCAGGTCCCCAGAACATTATCTGGGTCTCTGGGTTAACAGTCCAGCGATAATACCACTAGGCCATTGCCTCCCCAAACTCCTCTAACACCTATGCATCAGTGACATCCTGAGCAATGTTTTCCTGTTTTAAAGATGCGAAGCAAAAGCATGTTGATGCACCACCCCATTCCTCTGATTGGTGAATCTTTGTGACCTTGGCAGGAACAATGTACCCAACTCTCTGTAGGCCTGTTTCCAGTCTATAGTCCTACGATAGGAGTGAACTGAGAAAGTTTTTCACCAGTAGCATTTTAATGCCAGGTCTAATTGATAACAAACATCCAGCAGTAGTACTGATAGACTTTGCATTTCTGAAATCAGGCCAGGTGTGAGAAGAACACTGTATAACACCTGGCTGAAGTTCTGAAAAAGGGTCGCTAGACTCAAAATGTTAATGCTGTTTTCTCTCCAGATGCTGCTAGACTTGCTGAGTTTCTCCAGCAATTTCTGTCTTTGTTGCTGAAGTAGTGGTGCTTTCTGGTCCATCACTACTTGTGGCAATGTCAAAAGCAAGCAAGAGCCTCATTATCATATTTTGCTATAAATACAATTGTGACTACAGCTCACCAACAAAACACATAAATCTAGGATTTGATCATGTGGCCTACAGCTGACACTACATAAATAACAAGTAAAGCTACTTTGGATGAGACAGTAAACATAGCCCACATTTGTCTTCCTTACGGTTCAGATTAACAATGCTATGATTCAATAAAGGACAGAAATTCACCAGGTTACACTTTAATTCTTGGAAGTTGAATAATCATTCTCTAAAATCTATTTTAGCAAATATTCACACAATACTAAATTTCACCTACTGGTAGATTCTATTTCCGGCTGTGCTGTGAATAGAATTCCTTTTCCACAGGATATACGTTAGCTTAATCAGTTTGTGCCAGTCTGTACGCACCTCTAAAGCTTCCTGCTGTCTCTTCCTATTTAAGTCCATCATTGCAACCATCTAGCCCCTTCTGCCTCACATTTATCTGATTTCTCCTCAAATGTATTTCTACTGATCACTTCAGACAGCTTGTGATAGACAGTTCCGCATTCTCACCAATCTTTGGGGGAAAAGAAGGTTCTTCTGAATTTCTTACCACATTTCTTGCTGATGAACATATATTGATGACCTCTAGTTACGCTTCCTCTTGTGGAGGAGAGCAGTCCCTTTGCATCCACTCTACCAAAACCGTTCATAATTTGAAGGATCACAATTAGGTTGTCCCTCAGCTTTTTTTTTCTGAAAGAGAGGAGGGCCAGCCGAATAATCCTTTCCTGGTAGGCACACCCAGGCAGTTCTGCTAGTATTATTCTTTTAAACTATCTAGAATCTGAGCAGGAATGAGGGAATTCAGTTGTGTGAAGAGACTGTACAAACTGGGATTATTCCCCTTACAGCAAAAAAAAAGTTAGGGAGTCATTAAGAGATGTGATCAGAGTTTTGATCAGAATTTTAATAGGCTAAATCAAAATAAACTGTTTTAACTGGCAGGAGAATCTGTCCACCAGAAGGTACAGTTTTATCGGGGAGGCAATGGCCCAGTGCTATTATTGCTGAACTGTTAATCCAGAGACCCAGGTAATGTCCTGGGGTTCAAATCCTTAGCAGATAGTGGAATGAGAAATCAATAAAAATTTGGAATTGGGAATTTAATGACCATGAATCCATTGTCAAGTGTTGGAAAAACCCATCTGGTTCACTAATGTCCTTTAGGGAAGGAAACTGTCATCCTTAGCTGGTCTGGCTTACTTTAGATCTTTTCCCTAGGGTGGGGCTTTTGCACACAGAGAGTGCTTCATATGTGGAATCGTCTGCCAGAAGAAGTGGTAGATGCAGGTACAGTTTCAACATTTAAAAGACATTTGGATAGGTACATGAATAGGAAAGGTTTAGAGGGCTATGGGCCAGGAGCAGGCCAGTGGGACTAATTTAGTTTGGTAACATAGTCGGCATGGATGAGCTGGACAGAAGGGTCTGTTTCCGTGCTCTACGACTCTATGACATGTGACTCCACATCCACATCAATGTGGTTAACTCTTAACTGTCCTCTGGGCAATAAGTGCTGACCAAGCCAGAGATGCCCACATCCCAGGAGAGAATGAAAAAAAGATAATTGTTCATTGTCAAAAGAACCATAGGGGAGATGAGGAGAAATGCTTTTGTGTTGTGCTTTGTTCAAATTGAGCACGTATTGCTTGAAAGGCAGTTTCATTAGCACCTCTCAAAGAGAACTGTATATATACAGGAAAGGAAAAAGAAATTGAAGTGTTTAGAATGTAAGGATGAGGAAATGGAACTGATAAGATAGCTCTTTCAAAGAGTCAGCAAAAGCACAAAGGTCTGGCTGCATCATTCTATGATTTCTGGTCCCCACTGTTTTGATATTTACTAAACCATCGATTTTGAATCATCTTCCAAACATGTCAGAATTTAACAGACAGGAATTAACTTGGAAATGTTGACCTTACGTGCCATCCTCCAGCTTCTGCTCCCTGTTCAGATCTGTCACTGTATTCAGAGAACAAACACACTGAACTCAGCACAACATTTATCTGTGGTCCATACCTGTTAGGCCTTTTGCAGGGAGATGGGCTGGACCGTGCTGAATTTGATGAACTGGTGCTCAGGGTGCTGTCAGGGCTACTTAACGAACACACTCTGTCGATGTTGAGGGTGCTCTGGCATGCCTCGCAGTCTGGACTGCCTTTACACCTGTTGGTGGACGGGGTGGATAAAGAACAAACAATACCATCAGGTAAAAAGCAATCAGTTTGTGGGGAAATGACTTTGCAAAAATCTCTGACCAACCAGAACATTTCCTTTTGCCTAGTCATTTCAGGATTCCCTTCCCACATGCTATTTTGTTGGAACTGTTTGCATTCGCTCCAAATTGTTTTTACTTGTTCCATTACCTCACCCTTTGCATCGGAATGTCCTCCATATGATTTAATTACTTGTTCCATCCATCCTATCCATTTTGTTCTTAACTCCCTTCACCCCACCCGAATCCCTGCTTCTGAACTTGCTTAATAGCTGTTGGTATTAGCTTTTGATTAAAGGCCATTGAGCTGAAATCCTCACCCTTTAAGATGCTCCTTAAAATGTTCTCCTTTGGCCAAGATTTTCATCACTCGGCCTAATATCTCTTCATGTGGCTCATTGTTTGATGTTATTGTGGAATACTAAAGTCGCTTTTTAGGTGTAACATGCTGTTGTTGAAACATTAACTGTGTTTCCCTTACCACAGATGCTACATGACTTAATGAAGGTTTCACAGCATTATCTTGTATTATTTAGAATTTCAGTAGCTGCAGTGTTTTGCTTAATATTTTCAAATTCTATTGTTTTACGACTCCTTGTAATGATGGCTCAGGTATGGCCTGCATCTCCTTGTGCTGCTTCATATTTCTGATGCAGCACACATACAGAGAATAGGAAACTCATACAACCCCAACAGGGAATTGGTCATGAGATATTCTGAGATCTTACTACACTATTTATCTGTTAAAATCACCAGAGGATTCTCAATTTCTAATTAATTTTCTAATTACATATATCGAGGTGAAATAATGTCAATGTTGGGCAAAGTTTATTTTCTTCCACGCTGATCGTCAAGTTCTGGCATCAAGCACTCCCAAGTTAGGCATACTTTAGGTGTGATTTCATTTTATGAGAAGGAACTGTACAGCATCTTTAAGGTAGCCTTTGCTCCAGTTAATTTTAAAATAAGTAATTTGTGTTTAGTTAGCACCTTTTATCTCAGGACATTTGAATGAATTTTACACCCAACAATGTCAGTATGGATCATGACAATAAAATTCTGCAGGTGCTGGAGATCTGAAATAAAAACAAAGTTCTGGCAGCATCTGTGGAGACAGAAACAGTTTTAACGTTTCAAGTTCAATGAGGGTCTGGAAAAGTGACAGTTTTTATGCTGTTGAAAAGAGGAGAGGAGGAGCAAATTGAATTGAATGGTAAGAACACCCAGAGCAAAAGTCAAAGGGAGTGGTAATAACAGGAGAGGCCAGAATAGATGAAGTGTAGATGTTGGTGTTAATAGCAGAGCATTGATCAAACCTATTGAGAATAAACCCATGCAAACAAAACCCTGGGGCATGGGCATGGGGACTGAAAGTGGAAGGTGAGAGGAGGTGTGAACAGAGTTTATGTTGAGCCAAAGGTTGAATTTGAAGCCTGGAGCTGTTTCTCCAGCCTCGCTTAAACAATGCAGCAGGCTTGGGTTGGAAATATTAGCATGGAAGCAAGATAATATATTGAAATGGAAAGCAACTGGAAGGGGCATTCTTACGCATACAGCAGAGGTGTTCCGCAAAGCGGTCACCCAGTGTCATGTGGCCTCCCCAATGTACAGGAGACCGTACTGTGACCAGCAAATACAGCAGACACAATCAAAAGATGTACAAATAAACCACTAATTTAACTGGAAAGTGTGTTTGAGGCCTTGAACAGTGAGGAGGGAAGAGGTTAAAAAAGTCAAGAGTTACACCGTCTGTGATTGCATAGGTGTGTGCCAAGGAGGGGATGAAGAAGTATGAGGACTGAACATGAATGGACAAGGTGTTGCAGAGAGAATGGTCCCTGTGGAACGCTGATAAGGGAGGGGAGAATAAGGTGCAATTTGTTGGTGGCTTTGGTGGAAATGTCAGAGAATGATACTTTGAATACAGAGTCTGACAGGGCGGAAAATGAGCTCAAAGGGAACCCTACTGTTCTGGGATGGAAGAGAAGAGGTGAAGGCAAAAACACGGAAAATGAATCAGACACAGTTGAGTGCCTTGTCAATCACAGGGGGCTGGGGAATCCTCCAATAGGGATAAATGAAGACATGTCAGAACCACCCCTGTAGAAGGTGACATCATCAGAACAGATTAGATGGGAGATGGAGAAACTGGAAGAATGGGATGGAGTCCTTATAGGAAGCAGGGTGTGAGGAAGTGTAGTTGAGTAACTGGAGTCAATGGATAGATAATGTAGTGGATGTTGGACAGTCCATCATCAGAAATGGAAATAAAGAAGTCAAGGATGGGAAGAGAAGAGTCAGAGATGGACCAAGTGAAGGTGAGAGGGGGAAGAAAATTGGAAACAAAACTGATTAATTTATCCAACTGCAGATGAGAGCAGGAAGCAGCACCGATGACAACATCAAGATACCACAGAAAAGGTTGTGAGAGGGAGACCTGACTGGGACTGGAGCAAGGAATGTTCCATATATCCCACAAAGAGACAGCCATAACTTGAACCCAGGAACAAAAACCAAAGTTGCTGGAAAAGCTCAGCAGGTTTGGTAACATATGTGAAGAAAAATCAGAGTTAACGTTTTGCATCTGGTGACCGTTCCTCAGAACCTTCTTTCAGTTATTATAACTTGAACACGTGTGGGTACCCAAAGCCATAGCATTTAGTTGGAGAAAGTTAGACAAGTGAAAGGAGAAATTGTTCAAAGTGAGACATAACTCAGCCACGTGAAGGACTGTGGTGGTTAATGAAGTCTCCTTTCAAGGAAGTGGAAAACCTTCAGACCATCCTGATGGGGGATGAACTTGTTGAGGAATTGCACATCCATGGCAGAGAAGTAGTGGTTGCAGACAAGAAACTGGAAAATTGTGTAACTGATTAAATGATTGATGTTCTGAAGAAGGGTAACTGGTCTTGAATTGTTAACTCTGCTTTCTCTCTACAGATGCTACCAGACTTGCTGAATTTCACCAGTAATTTCTGTATTGCTTCCAGATCATTTGCAGATGCAGTTTTTTGTTTTCGATCAGAATTACAAAGACAGGTAGAGGAGCCTGAACATGGGGAGAGAAAACAGAGTTAAGATGGAAAGAAACAAGTTCAATGGGGCAATACAGGCTGAAACATTGCGTGCACCAGGGCAGTCTTTTTCTGGATTGCGGGAAGGAGGTCAAAAATGGGCTGTATGGAGTTGGGGTCTGAAGTAGAACACTATAGAAGGGACGTGTTCAGAAGAGATGAAGTCACTGATATCCTAGTAACAACAGCTTGATGTTTAGCAGATTTGATGTCAGTCAGAGTTAGACTTGATAGAATGGAATGCAGCAAGTTCAGAGAGAGAAAGGTTAGAGTGGATGAGGAGAGAAAAGAAATTAATGATGCCCATTTCACGTCAATGGTTCTTGATGACGAGATCAAGGACACATAGAAGCCAGAAAGAGGGGTCCAGGTTAAAGGAGTGTTTGGAGACAGATGAAAGGGTCTGTGTGTGTGTTTGCTGGGGGGGGGGACATGAAGACAATGGTGATGGAAGAAGAGTTCAAGATCGTGTCGTATTCTAAGTTCCTTGAGGTGGGGACTTAAAGGGATAAAACAAAGTCCTTTGCTGAGCACTGATCATTCTGAATCAGTGAGTGGAACATCAGAGGGAATAACGAATACACAAAAGGGATAGGACCTGAGGGAGGGAAAGATCAGAGAAATGTCAGGACCTGAGGTGTTGTGGCATTATGGAATTGTTACAACACAGGAAACACAGCAGTCAATCTGCAAACAGCAAATCCATATAAATAGCCATGAGATAAATAAGCTGACCATCTGTATTTTTGGAGACTTTAGTTAAGGAACAAATTATTTGCCCAAAATACTGTGAATAACTCTTTTGTTTCTCTTCAAGTTAGTGCTACTGTATCTTTTATCCAAGAAGGCAGACAGGACTCAGTTTAAAGATGCAGCATTTGTTCAGTACTGCACTGCGCCAGCCTAGGTTGTGTGCCTCAATTCCCATGGAGTGGGGCTTGAACATATTACGTTTTTGACTCAGAGGCTCAAAAACTACCAGTTGAGTCATGGCAAATCCTTGTGTAGCAATTTGGTCATTAGTTATTTCCAAGTAGAGTGCAAAAGTAATGGACCACCTTGTGTGGTATGAAATTCAATAGTTAACCTCCTACAATGTAACAGAAAAACTTACAATTCTGCACAACAACTTTCTGTGCTTTTTATGCAATGAACGTATGTCTATTAAATTTTGTTTGAAAGTTGCCAAAAAAATATTGCATGTAGGCACTGATATGAGAATGAGAAAGATGGCTGCTGTATTCAGGAGTTGTGAACACAGCTCGCAGTGTTCATGATAAGCAGGCAGAGCCAAGGAGTCATGCCTTGGGGTTGCAAGAAGGGTCAGAGAAACTTTGTAGATGTTACTCTCAAAAAATCAAATAAGTAACATACAGTCAACCTCAACTGGCAAGAAGTAAGTATTATTGGTTGAAATCAATTATTGGGCAGTCCCCACAGCTGAACTACAATGCAAGAGAAGAATCAACAGCAAGTTTTATCAATCTTTTAATAGAGCCTCTGGCCCAAGGCCTTTCACAGAGCAGAAAGAGATCCTGCTCAGTAACAGAAGATGCAAAAGAATACTACCATAGAAACATATTTGAAAGATAGTAAATGAAAATGGCAATGAGTGAAGAAATGTGTGCAGACATTGAGTGACTTGAAAACAAGAATCAAAATTTTAAAATACAGGCTTTGTTGTTCTGGGATATAATATAGGTCAGCGAGCGGAGGGGTTATGCGTGTATGGATCATTCTGCAAGTTAAGGTACAGGCAACAGAATTTTAGATAAGCTAAAGTTTGTGGCAAGTGGGAAACGGGAAGGCAGCCAAGAGAACAGTAGAATAATTGAGGCTGGAGGGGGACCCAAGAAGGGATGAGAGTTTCAGCAACAGATGAGCTGAAACAGGGGCAGTGACAGACAATATTGAAAATGGAAGTAGGTCGTCTTGGTGTTGGAAACTCATGTCACAGTCAAATAGGATGACAAACAACTTACTCCATTCTCCCAGATCCACAAAATTTTAATATGAGTGACAAAGATAAGTTATAAAGGAAGTAAGCTACCTGGTGGCTGGGTGCGTAGCCCCATAAGCTGCGGTTTCAAACGATAATCAGTAAAACAAAGGATCATTCAGCAATAAAGACTTGGCCGGTCTCTGGCACTGATTTGTGACCTGGCATCTGTTACCATTTCATTGTTTGCAGAGACAGATTGTTTGTGTGCCTGTATGTACTGGGGAGGAGATTGGTTAACTATTATGACATTATATTTTTAAATTGCAGTGTGGCATATGCTCTTACCAGCTTTGCAGTTGCTGAACAAATTTCATTTTGGAGATCTGATGGAGTCTGTGCTTTGACAGACTTGAAAGATCTTATTTGATCAATGATGCACTCAGTCAGAAACTGACAAATATATGTGGAAATCTACCAATTTAAGATATTACTTATAGTGCATTTCAACACTATAAAATTTCAATAGCACTAGAAACTGGAATCTTACAAACAGCACGGGGCTACATAGGAAAGAACAGTTAGAGTGGGACTAATCGCCTCTTTACAAATGCCAGCATCGGCACAATGGGCTTTTTTCTGTATTGTACAATTCTATGATCTAATTGGGATGATTAAAATGTTAAAGCAATTCAATAGAGTAGATATCAATAAACCATTTCCTTTGGTGGGGGAACCCAGAATAAGGAGAGGAGACCTTTAAAATCATAAGCTGACCATTCGGGAGTAAAATCAAGAAGCATTTTTTCACGCAAAGCTGAGTGAAAATCTGGAACATTCTTCCCCAAAAAGTTGTAGATTAACTTGATATTTCAAAATTGAGACCGTTACATTTTTGTCAGATAAGAGTGATTTTGACAGATGTAGAACAAAGGTTGACAAATAGAGTCTAGACCTGTCAAGTATCCAGGTGCATAACGGCTTGGTACGGCAACTGCTCCGCCCAGGACCGTAAGAAACTATAGAAGGTTGTGTGCACAGCCGAGACCATCATGGAAGCTAACCTTCCATTCATGGACTCTATTTACATGACCCGTTGACAGCCTTTCTGCGGCAACATTGTCAAAGACCCATCTCACACCGCAACGCTCTCTCACAAGCTCTTCCGTCAGGCAGAAGATACAGAAGCTTGAACACACGCACCAGCAGGTTCAAGAACAGCTTCTTCCCTGCTGTCTAATGGACTGTCTAACTTCAAATAATGCTGATCTTGCTCATGTTGATCTTACATAGCACATGCCCTGTGTGACGTAACTTATACATCTCTGTCTAACTTTTGTTTCACTCTACGATCTGTATGTCCTTGCTTACTGTGATCTACCTGTACTGCTTGTAAACAAAGCTTTTCACTGTATTTAGGTATATGTGACAATAAATCAAACAAATAAATAAACAGTGAAAGCATATTTGAAATACTGAATGGCCTTCTTCTCTGGTTTCTAATATTCCAATTGGACAGTGAAACGGAGATTGGCAGAGGTGGTTTTTAATAAAAACTCACTCTTCTGGAGAGTGGCTCTGAGAAGCGTCATCATCATCTGTGTCACTGCTGATGGTGATGACACTGACAGCAGGGCTTGGGGAGTCAGCGATGATGATGGTCTGCCGTTGTTTGTTGGCGATCAAGTTGCCATCCAAGTCCTGCCCAACTGAACCCTGGAGACAGTAGTCCCCGTCATCCTTTCCACTGTGATTGTCCTGTGCTGCTGGGCAGCCTTCTGATTCGCTGGTCTTTGGACTGTTGGTGATCTTTGGAGACAGTGGTGCAGCGTTCTGTAGGTTGCTGTAGTGTGACATATTGCTCCTGTAAGTAAACAATATTAACAAACAGAGCAAGGGTGAGAAAACTTGCAAGGAGCTATGTCCACGTGAGCATGCCAAGACTTATCTGTACTCATCTCAAACCTTGTGTTCCTATCTTCATTCAGAACTTTCTATAAATAGACTACAAAAGCTTAACCTTTACGAATCACTTGTTAGTCTTCACTTCAGGTACTGCATCAAATTTTGGGCACCACGCTGCAGGAATGATGCTAAGACCTTGGAGAGGCTACGAAATCAATGGATTAGAATGGTAGCAGGAATTAAGGATCTCAGTGGTGTGGAGGCATTGTAGAAGTTGGAGCCATTCCACTTAGAACAAAAAGGGAAGATTTAATAGTAGTGTTCAAGTCTATGCTAGTGTTTAAGCTCCAACCAACCTCTGACCAGTGTAAGTCACCTAACCTGATTATCATATTCCTTTGCTCCTTTCTCCCTCAAAACTTATCCAGCTTCTCTACAAGTGCATATGGACTTGTTGCCTCAACTACGCCTTTTGTTAGCAATTTCCCCATTCTAACAATTGTCCCTGTGATAACCACATGTACGAGGCCCATGTAGAATCACTTATTAATTGCCTCACGAAGCATAGAGTCAAACAGCATGGAAAGAGACCCTTTGGTCCAACTCATCCATGCCAACCATTTTCCCCAAACTAAACCAGTCCCACTTGCCTGTGTTTGTCTCATATCCTTCTAAATCTTTCCTATTCACGTACCTGTCCAAATGTCTCTTAAATGTTGTAACGGTACTGGCATCTACCGTTTCCTCTGGCAGTTCATTCAACATAGAAACCAACCTCTTTGTGAAAAAGTTGCCCCTCAGGTCCCTTCTAAATCCTTCTCCTCTCACCTTGAAAATATACCCCTTAGTTTTGAACTCCCCCATCCTAAGAAAAACCCTTTTGCTATTCACCTTATCTACACCCTCATGGTTTTATAAATCTCAATAAGGTTACCCCTCAGCCTCCTACGCTCCAGTGAAAAAAGCCCCAGCCTATATTTATAAATCAAACCCTCTAGGACCAGCAACATCCTGGTAAATCTTTTCTGAACCCTCTCCAATTTAATAATATCCTTCTTATAGCAGGATGACCAGAAATGTACACAGTACTCCAAATGTGGCCTCACCAATGTCCCATACAACTACTACATTCAATGGTCTGAGCAATGAAGGCAAACGTGCTAAACGCCTTCTTAACTACCCTGTCTACCTGAGATGCAACTTTCAAAGAACTATATACCTGAATCTCTAGGTCTCTCCGTTCAACAAAACTATCCAGGGCCCTACCATTAACAATATTAATCCTGCCCTTGTTCATTTTACCAAAATGTAATACCTCGCATTATCCAAATTAAATTTCATCTGCCACTCCTCAGCCCATTGGCCTATTGATCAAGATCTCTTTGTATTCTTAGGTAACCTTCTTCACTGTCGATTATACTATTAATTTTGTTGTCATCCACAAACATACTAACCATGCCTCCTAAGTTGTCATCCAAATGGTCTATTTCAGTGACAAACAACAGTGGACCCAGCACCAAACCCTGCAGAACACCACTGGTCACAGGCCTCCAGTCTGAAAATCAACACTGCACCTCCATCGTCAAGCTAATTTTATATCCAATTGACAAGCTCTCCCTAAATCCCATGTGATCTAACTTTACTAATCAGTCTACCATGCAGAACCTTGTCAAAGGCTTTACTAAAGTCCATGTAGACAGCGACTATCACTCCGCCCTCTTCTATCTTTTTTGTTATGTCCTCAAAAAATTCAAATTTGTTAGACATGATTTCCCATGCACTAAGCTATGCTAACTGCCCATAATCAGTCCTTCCCTCTCAAAATGCATGTAAATCTTATTGCTCAGAATCCTGTAGTTCCCAGGCTTCTCCTTAAAGCCTTTTCTAAATAAAGGCGCAACATTAGCCACACTCCAGTCCTCCGGCAGCTCATCCATGGCTGTAGATGATAAAAATATCCCTGCTAGGGACCCTGCAATTTCTTCCCTAACTTCCCACAATGTCCTGGGATACATTTGATCAGGTGCTGGAGATATATCCACGTTTATGTTTTTTAAGACCTCCAGCACCTCCTGTTCTGTAATATGGACTGTTTTCAAGACGTCAATATTTATTTCCCTGAGCTTCCCAGCCTCCACATCTTTCTCCATAGTAAAAACTGATGCGAAATGTTCATTTAGTATCTCTCCCATCTCCTGTGGTTCCACACATAGACCTTGTTGATCTTTAAGGGGCCCTGTTCTCTCCCTAGTTGCTATTTTGCACTTAATGTACTTGCAGAATCTCTTTGGATTATCCTTATGTGCCAAGGCTATCTCAGATCCCCTTTTTGCCCTCTTGATTTCCCTCTTAATAATGAATACCCCGATAACCCTAATCCTACTGGAACTCATCAGCTAACCCCTTTATAAAGCAGATCTGGAGATCACTCTGGTGGTGCAATGGTAGTGCCCGTGTCTCTGAACCAAGAGGATGGTGTTCAAGTCCCACCTGGTCTAGTGGTGTGTCATAACATCTTTGAACAGGTTAATTAAAAATAAAATTAAGCAGACCTGGCAGGGGATCTTGTGGTGCAGTGGTAGTGTCCCAACCTCTGAGCCAGGAGTCCTAGGTTCAAGTTCCACCTGCTCCAGGGTTGCGTAATAACATGTCTGAATAGGGTGATTAAAACAAAAATAAAGCAGACCCGAGGCCCCTTGTGGTATAGTAGTAGTGTTCCTACCTCTGAGCTACGAGACCCAGTTTCAAGGCCCACCTGCTCCAGAGCTGTGTAATAATATCTCTGAAATTGTTGTGTAGAAAATATCATAAAGCAGATCTGATATATAAAAAAAAAGCAGACCAAGTTTCCTGTAACGGGCTTTACTTGTAAATATCCAATTGGTGTAAATATTCAGGTGACTTATTAGTGTTGATAGTAATTAGACAAAAAAGTCATGTTGATTTGGTGGTGGGAAAGCCACTTAGTTCTGTGTGAGAGCACATCAGATATAAAAATAAAAAAATAAAAAATAAAGCAGACCTGACAGGCTTTGCATGCAAACATCTAATTGGCTACATGGGTGATTTACTGGTGGTGTTTAGGAGTTAAAAATGAACAAAAATGTCACAGTATGATTGTGAGTGATGGCATTCTGGATAGTAAAACGAAGCAGACCCAGGGCTGGGCGTGCAGAACAGTCTGTCCCGGGCTGGGACTAGACTATGTACGCCACGAGAAGTACCTCTATTTTGATATTCAACAATACATGATGTTCCTTTCCCAATCGGGTTTCCTAAGTTATTACAGTCGACATAATAAATTTCGCCTGAACTGCTGATTGTTTTCACTGGCAACAGTCTTACATTGAGGGCATCTTGCTAAAGTCAGAAAACCACACATTAATGACTTCCACCATGTGAAAGCCTGCCCATCACTGACCTCTTTTGACAGTGCTTATTCCTCTTCCGGTTAGTTGCAGAGGGCTGAGCCCAGACCACCTGGGCTATTCCCATATTGATGGGATTTGTGGCTGAAAGTGCCATTTGGTTGGTTAAAAGATGCTGTGGCAACATGGAACTGTAATGGCTACTGGGAGCATGCACCTTCCTGTGGGGAAACAAGAACATGCATTGGCAATCATAGACACATCAAATAATACACATTAGCTTAGAAATGCTTAGAATCTGAAAGATCCACGCATTGAGCCGACAGTCCTTTATTCAAGGTTTCACATCTATGCTTAAACATGGGAGGCAGTAGTGTCAGTCATGGCGATACATTCTATGCTTGGAATGTTTGAATAATATTCTGTTTTAATCTAATTGAGAAGGATGTCACATAAAAAGAAAGAACAAGAAAGGACGAGATCCATACACGAGGAATTAGTGAAAGAAGGAAATGGGATGAGAGAAAGAAACAAAGTACAGAGAGAGAAAGAAAAAGACAGAGAACAAAGAGCGAAGGAGAAATTGAAGGGTTTAAAGAGACAGAAAGAAATTTCACACAGTGTGTATTTTGGTTATTTGTTTACACTGTCTATGGTAAATATCATGTTATGTTAATTTAAACTAGTATTTTATGAATGATGATAAAATTGCAAGAAACAGGTAAGTTAATGTGATGGAAGAGAGCAACTGGAATACAAACCCATCTGGTTTATTTCAAGCAGGAAAACCATAAGGCCTGCTGGGGAGGTGATCTGGGGTGCTACTTTTCAGCTCTGTTTAAAATTCCACAGCAAAGAGTCGCACGTGAGTTACTCTAATCTCTTCAACCACAGGAGCACCTGACTTTACACAATGGCACCCCCTGAAGAGTGATACGCAGCCTGATGTGACACAGTTACTGAACTCAGTTTAGATTCACAGGCTACTGAAAGTTGAGGCACCAAGTACTAATGGCTCATTTCCACTAGTCGACACTCTAAAAGTTGATAGGCCTTGTGCTGTCTCAGATCCTTAAGGCCTAGAGACAATGATGTTCTGCAAACCTCCAACCACAGTGTACAGCTGAATGTACACTCACTAGCACTTCTTAGCTGTTATCCAGTTGTCCCTCAGAATTCTCTGCACTTGTGAGGCAATCAGTACCAAACTTTTATCATTTAATACGGTCTGAAGGAATGCTTGAGACCAATGGATTGAGGGTAACAGGTGATGGATATTTTAATTAAAATTTTTAAAAATATTGGTAGGTCAACTTATGGTGCAGCGTTCGTGTCCCTACTGCTGGACTGGGAAGCCTGGGTTCAAGTCCCACCTGCTCCAGAGGAGTCTAATAACATCTCTGAACAGGTTGATTAGAAAAATAGTCTTATGGAGTATGGCTAACTGAAATAAAGCTCTCTCAGAAAAACGTGGACTTGAATTCTGTTTAAATAGTTATCTTTTGGAGTATACACAAACCTCCGACCTTTTGGATCCTTTGAGTCATATTCATGCATGTTTGTATTCCCTGGAATTTAGAACATTAAGGGGTGATATGTTGATGTGTTAAGGAATTCAACAGGATTCACAGAGATAAACCATTTTCTTTTGTTGTGGCGAGTCTAAGAGAAGGTGCATTAACCTTAACATCAGAGGTTCACCATACAGTATAATGTAAGGAAATATGTCTTTACACAGAAACCTAGTTAAAATCTTGAAAATCATCCTTAAGAAAGCAACAAAAGGCTGGAACAGTCAAATGAAATTTTCAAAACTGATAATGATGCATTTTTGTTGGGTGGGGGCATGAAGATATACGGAACCAAGCCAGGTAAATTTTAGCCTTGATCTAGTTGAGTAAAGATGAAGTTACCATAGTCTCAAAGCTGCTCTCTCATTACAAAGTGATGACTGGTACTGAGTTTAACGTAGAGTCAACAAACCTGAAGGGATAGGCAAGATTGAGAAGGAGAGTCCTTCATGGCAACCTCAACTGGTCCAAGAACTGAACCCACGCTGTTGGAATCATACTGTATCACAAATAAGACATCCAGCTAACTGACTCCCTAACTCGTTGAATAGTGAAATAGACTCAACAGGGTCCAATGGCTTCCTCTTGCACCTATGTCATTATGCATCCAGTATGATGTAAAAGCAAGCCAAGCCCCTTTGCTACTCCACGTTCCTCCACCCTCATTCCTTGCACTCAGCATCTTACATACCCCCAGTCGCCCAGCCTCTGTGGACCAGCCACAGTATCGGATGCCAGTGATGTAGTGGAGGGCGCCATAGCTGCCACTTGCTGCCAGGTAGGGATCAATAGCTGCTGATTTCGACTAGACCATGCCTACAACAACAAAAGAAACAATCACACGCTTTCATTCATTCAAAACACCAGCGACTACATATGACATATGTACATATGCATACACCTTTAATGTGGTGAAGCATCCCCAAGCATTTCACAGGTGTATTATTATTCAAAATTTGGTAACGAGCTATGTAAACAGATGTTATGTTAGGTGACTAAAAATTAAGTCAATCAAATAGGCTTTAAAGAGTATCTTAGAGGACTAATGAACCAGAAATCCTGACTAATGATCCGGAGACAAGATTTCAAATCCCAACACATCAATTAACCAAAAGCTAGCATCAGAATTGGAAACCATGTAAAGACTGGATTATCGTACTGTTGTTTAGGGAAGAAAATCTGCTCTTTCTTACACAGGTTGGCCAATTTGGGAGTTCAGACCCATAGCAATATGGTTAACTCTTCAACTGCCCTCTGAAATGGCCCAGTTGCTCACTCTTAAAGAATGTGATTCACTAACACCTTTCAAGGGCAATTAGGAATGGTAAATAAGTACTAGCCTTGTCGGTGATGCCCATATTGTGTCAATATATTTCAATAAACGTAGCAAGGTTTAGGGAGGGAAAGCATGGCGGTCAGTGTTGAAACTGTGCATGTGTAACAGTTGGGACCTCAGAGGGGTGCGGGCTTGGGGAGATTACAGACAGGGAGAGTTGAGGCCATGAAAGATGTGGGAGTTGCTTGCAAGGCCAATATTGATTGTCCAGCAACTGGTAGCCTTTGAGTTGGTAGCAGTGAACCTCCTCTTGATCTGATGTAAACGTGTGGGCTGCTAAACATTGGGCAACGTAGAGCCAACCACATCTGTAGAAGACTGGAGTCACTTCTAGGCCAGACCAGATAAGAGCAGAAGGTTTCTTTCCTTAAAGGACATTATTACAGTGGTTCCCAGCCTTTCCAGTGACATAGCACACTTCAACGAGACACAATTTCCACAGTACAGCCACTTTTTTCAGCTGAACTGATGTGCTTGTAAATTTCATATTTACTTGCATTTGCTTTTGTTAAGCCTCACTAGAGAATTTTGCAGCATAGTGCGTACAACAAGCTAAAGAAAGATCAAAGGGATTAATGTTTCAAATTTGTTTTATATTGATTTTCATTACCTTTGTACAAAATTTCATTGCACACTTGCAGAGTTCTCATGCGTATCAAATGAAAACCACTACATTAATAAGTCTAAGTTGAGGGGTGTTGTTTGAAGCCAGAGGCTTTGGATTCAAAAGTGAGGTGCCACTGATCTCACCAAACTGACCACTTACGAAATGCAGATCCAAAAGGCAGATGCGATTTTAGTGCCAAAGCAGATTTGCTTTCTTATGACCAGAACAGAAAGCACAAACCTGTGTCAAAACTCCAGGCCTCAGTTGAAGCGGCTGCATGGTAGGTGCCTGTGTAACAAGTGGTACTGCACTGTCCATTCGTACAGAGAATCCTGCGTGTTTACCTGGGTTTGCTGAGATGCCTGCTGATAAAAGAACAGAGGAGTGAAACTATCCCATCTCAAGATACAGCTGCCTGACATTTCACTTGAAGCTAAACTGCTGTCCACAGACCTTGATTTTTCCAAGCACGCATGTACTAACAAGGCAGAATCTCAAAGAATAGCACTGCTGATCATCCAGGAAAGGGAGAATGCTCTCTTCCAATGCTACGTATGTTGGTGGCTTAGTTTCTAAACACATATTTTGACAAATCATACAGCCCAGAAGGAGGCTATCAGCTCATTGTGCCTGTTTGAAAAAGCTATCTATTTAGTCCCACTTCCCCTAAATATTCCAAACTCTTTTATAGAATAAAGTGATTCTTAATCAGGCTCAGAGAAGGGACAGGGGCAGAGACTCCCCAGCATCTAAGGGTATTTCTGACGAGATCCGTGATGAACCAAATCATTCCTTCTCCTTGAAATCTGCTCATGCCTCTCTGCAAACACTCCATGATGTCACTTCTGCCAAGAATTCCCAGAATATGTCCAATAAGAATTGGCAATCCCACTGTCCATATCATTGAAGTTTGTCATTCCTGGTGACACTCTCTAGTGAATCTTCCCTACATTCACTTTCATGGTCTTGACATCTTTCCTAAGGTGTGTTGCCTAAAACTGGACACAACAGTCCAGCTAAGAGCTAACCTGTGATTTCTAAAAATTTAACAATACTTCCATTGTTGTGTAGTCTATTGTTGTTTATAAAGCCAAGGATCCTTATCTATATTTAACAGCCTTCTCAGCTTGTACTGCCAGTTTCAAAAGGTTTTGCATGTGAAACCTTAAATCAGACCGTTCCTGAACGCTATTTACAATCAGTCCAATTAGTTTATATTGCCTCATCTCATTCTTTCATTCAAAACGACTTCACATTTTTCTGCACTAAATCTCATCAGCTTCATTTGACCTACTGCATGAGTGGATCACTGATCTAGTATCTTACTCTCCCTGATTTTCACAGCATTCCAAACTGCTGACAGCCATGTTTTCTATCCCCAAACCTCTTGAGAATTGGAGTTGGGACATCATGTTGAGGTTGTACAGGACTTTGGTGAGGTCACTTTTGGAGTACTGTGTACACTTCTGGTCACCCTGCTACACAAAGGATATTATTAAATTAGAGAGGGTTCAGAAAAGATTCACCAGGATGTTACAGGGTTTGAATTATAGGGACAGGCTGGATAGGCTGAAACTTTTTTCACTGGAGCGTAGGAGGTTAAGGGGTGACATTAGAGGTTTATGGAATCATGAGGGGCATAGATAAGGTGAATAGCAAAGGTCTTTTCCTAGGCTGGGGGAGTTCAAAACTAGGGAGCATATTTTTAAGGTGACAGGAGAAAGATTTTATATCTTGGAAAACTTGGTCGGCATGGATGAGTTAGACCAAAGGATCTATTTCCGTGCTATATGACTTTATGACTCTTCACCTGCTACCAATTTTTAATATATTCATAGGATGTGGGCAATTATTCTCCACTCCACACTCCTTTTGAAAGGTAAATTGTAGTAATTGTGATATGATTTTCCAAGGCAGCAGGCTGTGCAAGACTACAAGGACTTTGCAGAGTACTGGGGAACAGACTGCAGACCAGGCAGTTATCCATCATCTAACCTGTTCTTCAAGCCATTGTTTCAATACTATGATTAGCTGTTTAGATACTTTCTAAAATCCTGTTTAGAGATGTTATTACACACATCTGGAGCAAGTAGGACTTGGACGTGGGTCTCCTAGCTCAGAGGTAGGGGTCCTACCACTGCAACACAAGACCCCTACAATTATCTGTTTAATTCATGTCATGTATCATTTGCACCCGCATAACACTGCCACTCATCTATCTCTCCCAAGTGTTCTTCCCACTAGCATATCCTTCCAATTGATGGTATTACCAAGTAATCATCAATACATATAAAAACATAGGGCATCAAGGAGGCTTATCTCCTTCAACTATGTTTGACAGGATTTCTGCAATCTTCTACAAAACTTTTAATTCGGATTATTTTCTGATTTCTAATCTGGCACATAGCCACTGTTTCTTCCTTTTACCTTGAAGTGTGGGTGGACACAGGATGAGGGTCTGCTGGAAAGACTCGTTGCACCCAAACTGAGCGGTCCCCGGTTGCAGTGGTATCCCATGATGCATCAGGGAAGGTCCAGTTGGTGGTAAATGCTAAATAAGCAAAAAACAAAGTCAGTGTCACAGTCTCAAAGCTCTGTCTAAAAGTATACAGTACCAATATTTTTATAAAGCGACTGTGTGTTCTGGCTGAGAGCTCAAAGTTTTATGCACAAGAGGCAACTGTAAAAATTATATTCCTAAATGCAGTTTAATAACAAGTGCACCTTCAAAAACCTATGTATGTATTAAACCTGTTCATTTTCTAGAATAGTGCCTGAGCAGGCAGACAGGGTCATTTAATATGTCATCAATGGCACATCTGATCATTCTTGCCCATCACCTTTCTACCATAAAGGAACAGTTATCTTACCAGTACTGAACACCGCCCGCCACTGATAGAAAGCAAATTTATTTTGAACCAGCATGAAAATGCACAGTTTCATTGGTTAGTTCGTCACTATATATCTAACCAGGTAGTAGTTCAACAGGTTTATTTGAAATCAGAAGCTTTCGGAGTGCTGCCCCTTTCGTCAGGTGAAGTGACTATAACCTGGTGTCATCTGACTTCTGACCTTGTCCATCCCAGTCCAACACTGGCACCTCCACATCATAACCAGGTAGGATCAAGCACCTAACCAATTGGAGCCCTGAAAGGTTCTGCCACTGCTCAATGTGGGTCCACAGGCTGCTTAAATACCTAGCCACCACAAGGTGGTGCTGTTGGGAAATCCATTGAACTTGGACAATTATCAGAGTTTGTTTTAAAGGACTCTCTTTGGTGAAAGTCATCCCTTCTGTCACACCTAACACTCTGAAAGTGTGTGGCCTTGCTCAGTGGGGTTAATCAGTAAAACGAAATTATGACCATGACAGAGAAACAAAATATGGCCATAGAAACTCTTTATTTGTGAGACATCCTGGCACAGGAGGAAGGAATTTGCTCTAAGCCTCATCATGTAAATTCTAAATCTTGTTCTGCTTCAATTGGTTTTCCAGCTTTTCTCTGCCTTTAGTAATTCAACTGCATCACTGTATAAAGATATTTCCCGTGACTCTCTTGCAATGCTCCTTTTAAAGTCACTGCATCCACTGCAACATCTTAACCAGGAAAAGGCAAATCTCCTGCTTACCTGGCTGTGTACAGAGCCCATTTTATTAAAAGCCACACTCAGATTTGTGGCATTGTTTGAGGCAACAGGTCTCATAAATGGCATCTTATTGCGGTTTATTACATCATACAAGTTCGGTCTCCATCTGCAAACATCCATTATGTGAAAACAGGACTTGACACTGTGAAGAAAAAGTGAACAAACCGAATATTACTTGTATTAATCAAAAATCTCTGGATCACTGTTTCAGCTTTTTCAGACTGCAATTAGAAGTGAGGCGAAGTTTACCACAGAGAAGATGGCTATTCAGACTGTTGTGTCAGTTCCAGATCTTAGCCAGAGCAATCCCATAGACCTGCCATCCCCTTCTGCGCATGTGACATCCTCAACCCAAGCTTAATCCAATCTTGTTTCAGCAAGACCGAACATACAATTCAGCTGACGGGGCAAGAATCCTTACACTATTATCACAGACCACCAACCGAGTGCCTATTAGTTACAACTTTTGTTGTAATCAGGTTCTTCATCTACTCACTCAGTTGAAACTGGCAAAGAAACACTTAACAGGCAAGATGCTGGGTTTGCAAAGTCTGCAAGTCTGCTATGCATGGGTGAAGACTGGAAATGGGGGAAGGGAATATGGAGGGTAGGAGTGGGATAAGGACTGGGGGACAAAGGGGAAGAGTGGAATAGAGAAGGGAGGAGTGGAACAGGGAGAAAAGAAGTCACTTGGGAGATGAATGCAATAGCGAAGGGAGGAATGGAATAGAGAAGGGAAAAAGGGAGGAGAGGAGTGGGATAGAGAGAAGAGGAATGTGAAGATGATGAGAGATGCAAGGAAGACAGGAACTGGGAGAATGCAAGGTAGGTTGGGGGGGGAGAAATTTGCCCAGGATTTCTCAAACGTGACATCCCATTTCTCAGAAACATCTCAAGGTGCCTTAAGATGCAATTAAACCGAAGTACATTATTATATGGCTGAACACAAAACCTATTTTGCCATGTAGGATTTTACATGGGGCAAGAAAATGAATAATTAGTCACTCTATTACTACTGATACTTGAGGGAACACAGAAGTATTGGCCTGGAGATTTAACAAAGAGGGGAGGGCAGTTGGAGGGCTGGAATGGTGTGGGGGGCCCTGGTGGCAACCAGTGGGAATTACGTGGACAAATTTTAATGCCAGACCTTTATTTAAATCGAATTTCCTGGAATGTAGTTCCAAACCAGTGGGCAAGACAATGTCTGGAGAGGGTCATGGTTGAGGACATTGGTAACAGTCCCCAGCAGTTAGCAGGAGGAGGACAATTTTCCTTCTAGTGGGGTGGTTTGGAACCATGAAGGCTCAATGAATGACTCCCTTGTGGAAGTGTTCAAGTGTTCCTGAAACTTAACCATGACCTCTTATGGGCTGTGAGCTCATTCAGCTGCTGGGTAGTGAAATTCAAATACTAAAACAATGGCACTAGTGGCAGCAGAACGGCCAAACAGAATGTTGCAGTCGATGAGTTTTAAGATCTAGGATGATGCAGCCCACTTGATTAAACCCATCCACCACCTTAAACAGTCGATCCTTCACTACTGGTGCAGAGTGGCAGTACTGCAGCAACTTGTCAAGGCTCCTTCAACAGCACCATCCAACCTGTGATCTTTGCCACCCAGAAGGACAATGGCAGCAGACACATGAGAACACTACCACCTGAAAGGTCCCTTGCAAATCATACACCATCCCATTGGGGAAATACATCATCATTCCTTCACTACTGATGGGATAAATCTTGGAAAGTCCTCTCCAATAGCATTGTGGGTGTATCTACACCATAAAGACCACAGAGTTTCAATGAGGCAGCTCACCTATTTCACTTCCTTGGGAAAATTAATAATGGGTTACAGCTGGGATGCACATCCTCAGAAAGAATAATTAAAAGCTTGCACTGGCATAAATGTACAGACCAAATAATCATTTGCATAACAACAGTCATAATTCTTCAAAAACATTGCTTGATGTGTGCAGACTTTCTCGAATATTAATGTCATTTTAATCTATGTATTTAGCCTAACCTCTGCACACAGAGAGAATGCAGATCAGAGATGAAAGATTCAAGGACTAAGATGTTTCTGCAGGGCATATTTTACTCATGCAGAAATGGGTTTGGAGAAGCCTGCCATGTTCCACATGTATATTTTGGGCTCAGTTAACTCTTAATTACAGCGAGGACCTACTGGTTGCTGTGTGGAAAGTCCAGCAAGTGCTGCATGGTTACAAAGGGGTGGTTCATCGTCTCCACCGGAGTGATCCTCTTCTCTGCATCGATCAGCAACATCTTCTTCAACAGACTGACAAATTCCATACGATCAGCCTTCTCTGCCAGTAGGTCATTTCCCTCCAAATCCATCACCATGTTCACCTGAGGCAAGAGCACATTGCAATTTAGCAGTAGGGTATGACAGGATTGGCAAATCTTACTGAAGTCACCTCAGGAACCTCAAATTCACTTAAAATTAATTCCCAACCACCTTTTTCTTTTAACATATACCCAGGACTTATTTCTTTTTCATCTTTCGCCAATATTCAAGTTTATAGCAGAGGGCCGATGGCAATTTGCTGTGTCACGGTGGAAACTATATTAGAAGTTGCATGACTATACAGTATTCCAAAGTAGACAGAGCACAGAAGCAGGTCATTTGCTCCAACGATTTCATGCCAGCATCTATTCACTGCACTATCTTTCTCCCATCCTACTTTATCCAACCTGAGCAACATAAACTTTTGTTTCTTCACGTACGCATCAAGCTTCACCTGAAATGCATCTATACTGCTTACTTCCACTATATTTATTTACCATACATACACACATACACACACTTCTCTATACCAGACAAATAAACATAAACTTGCACTACTTTCAACAAAACACAAAAGAAATCTTACAGCTCAAAAGCAAGACCTCAGAACATCAGCAAATACATTCCAAGTTGGATGGGTGTTTACTTTGTGGTCAGTGTAAACAAAATCCTTGTGAAGGCTTTAAATGGGTGCAGACAAGATTTATGTGAATGGTTCTGGGGATGAGGAACTTCAGATATGTGGAAAGACTGGAGAAGCCAGGCTTGTGGTCCAAATCATGTGGCCATTTACGACTGGGATGAGGGGAAATTTCTTTACCCAGAGAGTGAAATTCTCTGCCACAGAAAATGGGTGAGTCCAAAACATTGAATATTTTCAAGACGGAGTTATGGGTAGTTCTTAGGGCTAAAAGTATCACAAGGTATGGGAGAAAGTGGAACAGCATACTGAGTTGAATGATCAGCCATGGTCACTTTGAATGGTGAAGCAGGCTTGAAGGGCTTTTTCCAATTTTCTATGTTTCGGTGTGGGTTCTAGACAGAGTAGATAAAGATTAATTGTTTCTAACGATGGAAATGTTGAGAACCAATGGACATTTAGGGGAAGAGGATGACCAAGGAAAGAGTAGGGACATTAAGGACCAATGGGGAAATCTATGTGTGGAACCGGAAGTCATTAGTGAGGTGTTAAACAAGTACTTCAGATCTGTTTTCACTTGGGAGGGACTGTGAGGTTATTGAGCAGATTGAAATGGGGAGGGAGGAGAGATTGGAGATGTTGGAGGGCTTAAGGTCAACTCCCGAGTTCTGGATGAGTAGTATTCCAAGCTACTGTGTGAGGCAAGGGAGGAAACAACAGAGCCTCTGACCTAAATTTTTAATTCCCTTCTGGCCACAGGGGAGGGGCTAGAGGATTGGAAGCTAGTTAAGGTGGTTCCCCTTTTCAAGAAGGGTGGGAGAGAAAAACCAGGAATTTAAAGACCAGTGAGTTTCACATCAGTGGGAGGTAAACTATTAGAGAAAATTCTGAAGGAAAGAATTAATCTCCATGTGGAGAGGCAAGATTTGATCAGTGATAATCAGCATGGCTTTGTCAGAAGAACAAATTTTGACAATGGCGAACAAATTTGGTTAAATTTTTTTGAGGTGATGTGGGCAGTGCAGTTGATTCAGTTGCTACGGATTTCAGTAAAGCCTTTGACAAGGTTCCACACGGCAGATTGATAAAGAAGGTAAAAGCACACAGGATCCAGGGTAACCCGGCAAGACGGATCCAAAATTGGCTTAGTGATAAGAGACAGAAGGTCGAGATGCAAAGCTCCAAATGTGTGACTGAAAGCAGGTGTACGGTGGCATGCCACAGGGGTTAGTGCTGGGCTCTTTATTGTTTGTGATATATATAAATGATGTAGATTGGAATGTAGGGGGGAATAATAAGTAAATTTGTGGATGATACATAGATTAGCCTAGTGGTTGACAGCAAGGAACAGTCTTAGGCTACAGGACGTACTGGCGATTGGTCAGGTGGACACATCAGTGGCAGATGGAATGCAACACTGAAAAGTGTGAGGTGATACACTCTGGAAGAAATAACAAGCCAAGGGAGTACTCAATGAATGTCAGGATACTAGGAAGCTCAGATCTTGGGATGCTTGTCCACCTATCCCTGAAGACGGCAGGACAGGTTAATAGGGTAATTAAGAAGGCATATAGGATGCTCGCCTTTGTCAGTCGTGGCATAGATTATGAGAGCAGGGAGATTACGTTGGAGCCATACAAAACTTTGGCTAAGCCACAGCTGGAATACTGTGTACAGTTCTGGTTGCTACACTATACTAAGAATGTGACTGCACTGGAGGGGGTGCAGAGGAGATTCACCAGGATGTTGCCTGGATTGGAACATTTTAGCTATAAAGAAAGGCTAGATAGGCTTAGGCTGTGTTCTTTAGAGCAGAGAAGACTGAGGGAGGACCTGATTGAGGTGTATAAGATTATAAGGTGCATGGACAATCATAGGAAGCTGCTTTTCTTCTCAGTAGGATCAATAATGAGACAGCATAATTTTAAGGTGAAAGACAAAAGGTTTGAGAGGATTTGAGGAAAAACATATTCACCCTGCGGAGGTGGGAATCTGGAATGCGCTGACTGGGAGGGTAATAGAGGCAAGAAACCTCACAACCTTCAAAGACATAGATGAACACTTGAAATGTCATACCATTTAAGGCTATGGGCCAAGTGCTGGAATGTGGGATTAGTGTAGATAGGTCTTAATGGGCCATAGGGCCTCTTCTGTATTGTATGATTCTATGACATTTATTTAAGGTGATTGGAAAATAATAAAAATAAAGGCAACATGGGGAATAACCCTTACATACAGCAAATGGTTAGGATCTAGAAAGCACTGCTTGAAAGTGGAGGCAGATTTACTTGTGCCTTTCACAACAGACTTGCTTAACTAGCTGCAAGGGCTATAGGGAAAGGTTGAGGGAGTGGGACGAACTGAAATGCTCACAGGGAGAGCCAGCGTGAGCTTGCCAAGTCGAATGGCCTCCTTCTGTGCTGTAACAATTCTGTGATTCTGTACAAAGTCCTGTATCAGGAGCCACAATGTAATTATTTCTCAAGTGTCGCACAACCAGAATGCGGAGTGTACTTATAAAAGAGACACCCATGCACACAGAATTGGAGAAATACTTACCAAGGGGAGAAATTTCTAGAGCTATGCGGAGAAATTAGGGGAGTGGGAATAATTGGATAATCTTTCAAAGCATTGACACATGCATGACAGATCTTTGCTATGTTATTCTATGGACTGATCCATGCGTTGAACAGCATGTTGAAACCACACTAAATGGTACAATGAACTCAAAACATAAATGCATGGCAACATTTCACCAAGCATTTGTGTGAATGTACAACTAATGGAACAATGAACCTCCAATCATATAACTGTCTTAAAATGCTTCAGAGAAGCAGTAAGGATATGGGGAAAAGGCAGGGAAGTAGATTTGAGGAGATGGCTGCATGGCCTACCCAAGTTTTTTCTTTCTCTTATGTTCTATTGGGCCAAAAGCTTGGTCACAGAGGTAGATTAGAAGGACTATCTTAAAGGAGGAATGAGGCAGAGAGAGTGAGAGTTTTAAGGAGAGAATTCCAGGACATAGCATAGCGAAATGGAAGTCATAAATGTGCATGTTATTCACAAAATAAATGTGGATGCACAACCGCTTATACAGTGATTTTGTGAAATATGTTAATATACCTTCTTGAGGATTAAAAAAATGTCATCTTATGATTGGTAGCCTTAAAACACTTTAAAATTATACTGACTAAAGTTGTTAGTGAAATCTCTCCCCTGATATCTGTTCTGAAATGGGTTGAAGAAGAAGAAATTCATCAATAATCCAGCTCTGCTCCTGATACAGCAGGGTTCCAGCTCATACTTACATGCGCTATATCATCCAAACAGCCAAAGATATACTTTCTAGCTTCTTTTGACTTCATTCCTGTTTCTGCCTCATGCTCTTCCGGAGTCTGAAGCAAAAATAAAGAATTAAAATAAAATTAACAAAAAAAAGGGAGAATGAAAGTCAATCAAGTTCACAGTTCTTTCATTTAGGGGCAATGGATAGTCTACTCCAGTATTTATATCAGCAATTGATTTGTTTCAACATGCAGATCTCACATTTTGTTGACTTAATCTCACCTTTTGTTGACTTAATAATTCTAACCCTTCTACCCAATAACTACAAACCTCTTAATATCAGTTCTCTGAAAGTATCTCTACCATTAAAGATTGGGAGTTGCAAAGGTGAGAAACACAGCTAAAAATACCACAGGAGAGATAATTCCATTATGGTAAACTAGATATGCTCAAAGTATCGATGCTTTGTTATCACCTGCTCAAACTTGGGTTACATCTAGAATGTGTATGGCTCCCCCACATATGCTTTATGTCATTATATTATGGCAAAGTAGAGTAAATGGGCATCAAGACAAAATGTATTAGGCAGGTATTAATACAAAGCATAATGAGTGAGTAAAACTAGTGCTTTAGTTTGATTACACAAATGTTTCAGCCTACTAGACCCAAATTTCACTTTAAAATGAAAAAGAGTATTGGAACTGAGTTGTTATTCCAGTTTGTACCTTCATTTTCCACCCTGGATATGATGTGTCGGTCTCTGTGGAGAAGAATCGTGTTGTTTTTGTCCCAACATTTAATAGGTGATCTCCCGGTAACCCTTGAGTTTGTGAAATGTAACGTATCTGCAGAATAAAAGAACATTGAGTGAAATTGGTGCAAAGAATACGCATTGAATTAAGTGTTTCACTGGAACAATTTTTGGTTCTAAATTTGCAACCCTAATGCAAAATAGAACATGACTTCACTTTTGCCTAAAAAGAGACATCTTTGTTGCTTCACATATGAAACAACATTGAAGGATGCTGGTCAAAGTGCTACACCTCAGGATCCCAAAATGCCAGAAGAGATAGAGAAGCCTGAAATAACTTGTTCCCATTTATCTTATCCACAGCATAGTACGTTAAAAACGCTCAAGTTGCCTGGATGAATGTAATTTGACAAAACTCAGGAAGTTTGATACCAGCTAGCCAAATCAGCCTGTTTGTTGGCATCTCAGCCAACACCTTCAAAATTCGCTCTCTTGTACGGCCAATACAGTAGCAGCAGTCTATACTGTCTACAGGATGTACTGTAACAATTCACCAAAGGCTCCTGTGACAACACCATCAAAATCCAAAACCTCTATCATGTAAGAACATAGGCAGCTTAGGGATACCACCACCGACAAGTTCACCTCCCAAATTACTCACTGGCCAGACTCAGGACTATAATCGCTAAAGTTGTAGTGCTAGTAGGTCAAAAACCTTGAACTCACTCCACTGTCAATCTACCTGCAACAGATGGACTTCAGCAGTCCAAAAAGGTGGCACATCAATACCTCCTCATGCGTAATTAGAGATGGGTAATAAATGCTGGCCTTGCCGGCAACCTTCATGTCCCATGAATAAGTTTTAAAAAAATGATTTCACATACTCTTTGTAATCAACACATAACATTACCTTGAAGTTAAATCACTCTGTTTAGGATACCATCAACACAAATTGGGGCAAAACTAGGGATGTAGCGATGTAGTAGTAATGTTACTGGACAAGCAATTCAGAGCTCAAGGCCAATGTTCTGGGACCATTGGTTCATATTCCACCATGTCAGATGGTGAAACTTGGATTCAATAAAAATCTGTAATAAAATGTTAGTCTAATGGTGACTATGTAACCTTGGCCAATTATTGTGAAAGAAAATGTCTTGTTCACTTATATCCTTTAGGGAAGGAAGTCTGCCACCTTTACCTAGTCTACCCTATGTGCGACTCCACACCCACAGTAATGTGGTTAATTCTCAACTGTCCAATGGACAATGAAAGATGGCCTAGCCAGCAATGCCCTAATTCCATGAATAAATAAAAAGTACACAAACCGATGCTACTTCAGCACCTTAACCAAATACAACATTTCTCATGTAATGTGAAAGAATTATTTATTTTACAGGGTTTTCTGCTATTAAGCATCTGTAATTTTGGCAACGAGTTCAAAGGCATCATGACTGACCTTCGAAGGGGTGTTTCCTGATGCCTCCAAACGAGCAGTAATCAGTGAAATGCCAGTTATTTTCAGTATGTTTGATTTCTTGTACTCCCCATGTTTCTGTATCATTGCTCACTATTATTGACCCACCTGTCAAAAGGCCCATGTTTCAAAAGACCTACTTAATCATGACTTCCCAACTTTGAAGATAAATTTTTAATCACAACGGCAGAATGTCTTTTTGCTTCATTCCATATATGCTCCTTGTTCCTGAAAACAATCTGTTCATCATTTAACTGCAACCCTCCGTAGTCTCCTCAGTTTCTCTGCCCCTGGTTTGCAAGCAGCTTATTAGAAATTCCCTGAGATTGAAATTGCAAGTAAGAAAAGGGTTTGAAACACTATTTGTTAGTCAGGCACTTCTTATAAAATGTTTTGTTTTTAAATGGGTTCAAACTACTTTTCCATACGTTATACGTTGCTGCTTGGATACATTTAGCAGTGTGACTGAAGCAGACATGACAGTGATACTCCAGATAATAAGTTGGAATGTGCCTAACTGGAGCATTGATAAACTGTATCATTAATGTATGAATTTGCAGGCTAGAAGGCATGGTTGTAACCAAATGTGACCAACTGTGCAAACTTGTTTAAAGTGTGATTCTTTGTGGAAAGAAAAGTAACAGTGCTAAGAAATGTAAATTACTCATGAGCATAACATCTCAGAGTGACTGAATTAAAATCTTCTCCAGTACATTGATATGGCAATGATACAGGTTGTATTGGTGCACTATCACTGAAAATTCAGATCAGATTCCTTTGGTTTATTTATGTTTAGACCATGGACTGACATCAGGAGCAATGCTGCTTGTAATTAATACTAAATATGCTGTAATCAGTGATCACCCTCCATAGGGTCTCTCAACATTTACTGAACATCTCACCTAATGGAGGTCATCAGTACATTTCCATAAAGAGTGTGTTTATAAACTTTGCAACCATTCTTTCAAACCGCATGTTGCTTTGGCATTTATTTGCTGGAACACTAAGCAGTGGCTTAGTACGCAGCACCTGCAAACATTTTATGTAGGATACAAGCCAATAAACAGCTTTTGGATTTTAACTTTGAGCCGAGGACAGGAATGAACGAATGGTGTTTTGCACAGGCAGGATTACAAAGCGGCCTTACTTCAGAGGATCAGGAAATAAGGTAAGGTCTCCAACTTTGGCAACAACTGCCGTCAAACCAAGTGAGTGAGCTTTCATTACCGACATTCGACGGGGCTAATTTGAATACACTGAGGTAACCGAGTTGACATTCAGTTGTTGTGCCAAGGAGATTGTGTCATCCCACTTAACACTCCAGTTATGTGCAGAGTCATGATGTTTATACATAGAAATCATAAATTTAGAGATCCATCAGGATTCATGGGTCAGTTCTGAAGTGTTTTTCAACATACGAAGCACAACTTGCATCGATATATTTCTTCTTATCAGTTATTTTATAGCATAGAAACAGACAGTTCCACACAACGCGCCTCCCTATTCACCCTATCCGAATATCTTTCATGTTCTCCCTCAAGTGTTTATTCAACTTCACCTTCAATAAATCTGTGTTATTTACCTCAAAAGTATTTGTGGCAATAAATCCAACATTCTCTACACTCTCTGGGTAAAGAAGTTTTTCCCAAGTCCTAATTGGATTCACTAGTATCTTGGATTTTAACCCAAAGGTTTGACTTTGCATAATCTTGAAGACCTCCATTAGATCATTTCCAAATGCAAAATACTGAGAATGCTGGAAAATTGACTTAAAAACAGAAATCGCTGTAAAAACTATAAGAAGAGCATCTATGGAGACAGGAACAGTATTGAAGTTTCAAATTGATTGTTTCAGCTTTCTATTTTTATTTTACCCCTCAGTTTCACTTTTCTACAGGAAACAGCAACAACCTATTTAAATTTTCCTGGTTGTTATAATTGCCTAGTTCCTTGTTATGATCTCTTATCATTCTAACAAATGTTCTGTGCATGTTTTCCCAATTTTATAACTGGTAACATTTGACAGCCAGCTGCTCATGACCTATAAGAAAGTCACACACAAAGATTTGGAAACCTCTGGTTTCATTCTCTTCTCTGACAGAATTCTTACGTAACGTAAAGGCATCTCTTGGTGTGACACAGTTTTGATGCCAGAAAGTAGGTAAACACAGAAATATGTACATATTGAAAGTATCACACGAGTAAACTGAGAAATTAAAATTATTTAATATCCTTCAGAATTAATTTAGATTTCCAGATAGCAAAATAAATGTTTGTGATTCTCTTTAGACAGAAGCTATTATAAACAACCTTTACAGTCAGTTATTTTAAAACGAAGTGGGATTTTAACATTATGGAAAAACCTGGTATTCAACTAAGATAAAGTTTGGCTTTCTTAGCTAGGGATGTGTTCAGTAGTAACTTTGAAGTTAGCACACGTTTAAAAGCCAAGCTATATCTCATTCAACAAAGCACAACTTTTTCAACAATTCCTATAGGAAGACTAATTGCACAGGAGTGTTAAGTTCTCAACAATCCCATTGATTGCGGCAGCACGTCTTTGAGAAGCACAGCATCAGTGACAGCAACTTCTTAATTTCTAAGTCATTCTGTGTATATGGGGACACCAGGGCTGCTCTCAGCTTCAATGGTGAAACTCTTGTAAAGTAATTCAAAAAAGGTTAAACAGATTGTAATGACTCAGGAAGCCAGCCTGGAAAGGAACATCATTTATTAATGAACACTAAGATCCACTACCAGTGCTATACATAAGCTGGTCCCAGCCTGGGACAGACAGTTCTGTAGACCTATCCCTGGGTCTGTTTCAAAAGGAGTAATGAGTTAAGTGGGGCAGGCCACTGCCTGTTACCAAGGGAACTCATACTTCCTGACCACTTGTGGGTCCCAACTTTCAGGAGCATAAAGTGTTTAACCTACTCGGGAACCCTGGAATCAAAGTCCTTTGGCGAACTGATGGATAGGGTAGCTATGGACCACTGTGACACCAAACCAGCTGTTATATTGCAGTGTTACTGTTTCAGATGGCAAAGAGACTTCCTACGGAATTCACAATGAGACTGTGAGTTGGAAATTGGAAAATTGTGAGTAGTGATCAACACTTTGGGAAATGTTAAAGGATTCCTTAGATTGTGGATTTAATAATATTGTGATCCAGAGGAAGCCATTGACTGAACCAGATCTGGACTGCAAGAAAGCAACGGAACTGGCTTTTTCCTGCAAATGCATGGGAAAAAGAGCTCAAGAGCTGCAGGGGACCATGGACAGTATTGTCCTCAACCTTGGGAAATGCCCAAACTGCAGAGCCAAGTCCCAGTGGATAATATTTGCAACTCCTGTTTGTTGCTAGGAAGGAGACTGGAGTCAGAGGCAGCAAAGTTCCAGAACTGGACGGGAAAATTTTCTACAATAGAGGAATGAGGAGCAAGAATGTCCATTTCACATTTGTAGTATTGGGGCCTGCTCAAGACAAGGTTACTGTAACAGGCAATGCACGTACTGCCTAGGCCAAAGGCCATAAACCACCTCAAGACAGGGCTTAGCAAATAAATCAGCCCGATGTTGAGGAATTGATACAACTAAATTGTATCACTGCTCCCAAA